GAGTGAGTTCTGTGTGAGAGGACCTCAGAGCAAAGCAGCCAGGATGGTGGGCTTCCATGTTGTGGAAGTTGGAAGTGTTTAACCTGAGGAAGAAGGAAGTGTTGAGAGTCTTTTTCCATTTAAAGAGCAGTTCTAGGGAAGAGGGAGTAGACTTATTTTGTGTTACTGGTGAAGGTGAACTAGGATTGATGGGTAGACATTATGAGGAGGCTTATTTTATTTTATTATTTATTTTTTAGAGAGAGAGGAAGGGAGAGGGAGAGAGAGATAGAAGCATTGATGAGAGAGAACATCAATTGGCCGCCTCCTGCATGCCCTTCACTGGAGATTGGGCCCACAACCTGGGCATGTACCCTCACCGGGAATTGAACAGGCGACCTCTTTGTGCATGGGTTGACGCTCAATCACTGAACCATACCAGGTGGGCAAGGCTTATTTTATTTTAATGAAAGGCTTTGTAATAAGGGGAGCCGTTCAAAATTGCAATGAATTGCTTTGTGAGCTAGTGAACCCTCTGTCGTGTGGAGGCTTGGAAGGCTGAGGAGAGGTTCCTGAGCTGGCTAATGGGGTGTCCCAGATGACAGGCATTCTCTTCTACCCTGCTGTCAGTCCAGACTAAGCGACTGGCTTAAAGTAAGATGACTGCACACTGAAATTTACTGAGTGTTGGTAGGCATGCCTGGGAACTTTCTCCCTGGAATTAGTCTGTTGTTTTGATCTATTATTCATTCATTTTACAAATATTTATTGTGTGAGACATTATATTTCTGGTCTTATTTTGCTGAAATGAAAACAGAGGTTGGAAATGAATTTGTATTTTCTTTTTTCTTTATTGATTTTAGAGAGAGAGGAAGAAATAGAGAGCAAGAGATAGAAACATCGATGAGAGAGAACATTGATTGGCTGCCTCCTGCATGCCTCCCACTGGGGATTGGGCCCACAGCCTGGGCATGTGCCCTGACCAGGAATCGAACCGGCAACCTCTTGGTGCATGGGTTGATGCTCAACCACTGAGCCACACTGGCCAAGTGAATTTGTATTTTCTTGACATCATGGAATCCTTGGAGAAACCCAGTGAATTTCATTTCATTGTGGGAGACAGTTCTCCTTGGGAGTGTTGTGTTTTGGGAGTTCTTTTGAGCAGAGCACCGAGTGCCCTTTGTTTTAGACTTCTCGTCAGGGTGGTTGCCAGCAAGCATCCTTGGAAGATAAACTCTCCCCCTAGAGCAGGGGATAGCACGTTTACTGCCCGAATAAAAGATTCAGCTTTCTGAGTTCAGGGTTCTCTCCAGTAACTCCCCGTGTGTGCAGGCATTCATTTGAGTTCATCTGCTTAACCCTCATGGGACTTAGGGGAAAGGGCACTGAACAAATATCTGGTGCGCATGCTACTTGCTGTGCTGTGAGTGATCAGGTCCTCAGTCTCTGACCCAGGAGTTTTGTGTCTTCTACAGGTGTCCCTGAAAATGTGGCAGGCTAACTTGTTAACTTGTGAGAAGAATACAAATCTCAGCTGTTCACAGTTCTTGACTTTAAGGAAGATAAAAGTGAGAGTCAGAGGTCAACTCTTATGCCCAGTGCCAAATGATCTGGTGTTTGGGGGTCATGAAATTTGAACCTGTGTCTTCAAAGGATGTTCTTTCTGTTACCATGTAGACAAATGCTGCTGCCTTTGCTGCTTGTCCCACTACTACCAGTACTGCGGCTACTATAACTATGGTAGCCAGCAATGAGATGCCAGGTCTCGTTTGATCTCATTTCATTTTAACCAACCCTATAAGGAAGGTATACTTACTGTCTCCAGTGTATAGATGCGCAAAGTGCTGTATTATTACCAGGGTCCTAGGGGCAGTAAATGGTGGATTCTAGCTCCGGCAGTTTGACTCCAGAACCCATGACTCCAAGGCAGTTAGGAGCATCATCTGAAAGCAGACCTACCTAGGTTTTCACTCTCTCTATGCCTCCCTTATTGTGTGAGGTGGGGCAGACCAACCTCTTCAGATGTCAGCTGCTGTCTGTGAAAAGGGGAGGGAGGACAGCAGTAGGACCCACTGCACAGGCTGTATGAGCGGGAGACATGCACTCTATCAAGTCTGCAGCCCAGTTGGTTCCCCGCAGCTAGTAAGCTTCTCTAAATACTAGCGGCTGCTATTATTATATTTCTATCCTTGCTGCCTTCCTTTCCTTTAATTAATAAAAACTTGAATGATTTGTACTTTCAAAGTTCTCTAAGTATTTTCTACTGAAAGAAAAGTGCCATTCAGCTCAGTTTACATCAAGAGGATGAATTTCCAATGTGCAGCAACCCCGGCACAGGCTGCTTTCCTTATATAAATATTTCCTCTAAAAATGAAAATGGCTGACACCCCCAGTAGAACCAATTCACTTTTTAGTCTTTATTTTAGTAACCGTTTTTATTTCCTAAATCACTCTCAATGCTCTGGTGATGTGTTCCAGTGACAGCTGACGCCCAGGGAGGTGTCCTCTCTGGCCTGACATTTTCCTCAGTGGTGATGCTGCAGCTTAATGTAAACAGTGCGAAATAGCTGCATGTTTCCTTCCTCAGATGGAGGTGGCGTGGAAACCATGCGCGGCATCGTCAAGGTGGCCCGCTGATCCAGTGCGGCTTTGAAAATTCTGGCTGTCTGCTGTTACGAGGGGAAATAGAGTTAACTATCCAGGAACTCTTCCCTTTGGGACAGTTGATAAATTGAAGGCATTTTCTGATTGTGCTTTACTTTTGATTAACAGCCTGGAAGGTTTCAGATTTAAAGAGCAAAGTTATATATCATAGAAACAACAGGAAGACATCTTTAGCTGCCCTGTACCCAAATATTGCAAGCAGTATTATTGGCTCTATCTTTGAAGCCAAATTCTTTCTAAATTCTCCACTGAGATTTACTTTATTAGTCAGATGCTTGCATGGTCGTCTCCACCTGAAAGTAATCTTGGAGGTGGTGTGGTCACCAGCTGGCAGAGGAAGACATAGGATCTGTCATGGAAAGGCCTTCCTTCAAGTCTTGGGGTTCCCAGTGTGTTGATTTCCTGAGTGTGCCCCACATTCCTTAGAGGCATCACCTTTTTTCTTCATTACATTCTCCCCTCCCCCCTAATTTCATGCTGGATCAGATCTCTTGGCATCCATGACACATTTACAAAATTCTTCTAGGGGGTTAGATTGATGTCCAAGACTGGCCTGCTCCATCTCCCTCTCAATTGAAAAAGAAGTTTTATATATTGTGTGGCTCATGAATTAAGATCTTTTGGTCTAAATGACAGTTTGGAGAAGTCTGCCCTACAGTATTTTGCTTGCAAATATCTAGGAGTGGATATGTGATTGATTCACTGACAGCCCATCTCTGAAAGCAGTTCTAATGATGGCTTTATAATTGATTGCATCCATCACCAAGAGCCTAAAATACCCCCTCCCTAAATTAAAAAAGATAAATGAAATAAATTATGCTGAATGTATAAGCTGACAAATCTGAGGGAATTTAATGAAACTCTAAATTACCACAGCCAACAGATAAGAGAAAAAGGTTTCTTTGTTACTGATTATAACACTAAATTAAAAAAATTATCCAAGAAAAATACTAGAGGAAACAAAGATCTGTGGCCCATGTATCAAACTGTTCTTGAAAGATTTAAAGAAGTGTATCTGCTCCATTCCCTGCTTATTGTTGATTCATATCTATCTTGTTCGTGCTGTTGGAAGAACAGTAAATGCAGGGCTGCCTTGTAGTGTAGCAGTTGTAACAGACTTTAGAATTAATATGACCTTATTTCTGGGCCGCTGGGGGTGCTGTACCAAATGGAGGTCGTTTAAAAAAGCTAAATTTGGGCCCTGGCTGGTGTAGTTCAGTTGGTTGGAGCATTGCCTCTTGCACCAGAAGATTGCAGGTTCGATTCCTGGTCAGGGCACATATCCAGGTTGCAGGTTCGATTCCTGGTCAGGGCACATATCCAGGTTGCAGGTTCGATTCCTGGTCAGGCCACATATCCAGGTTGTGGATTTGATTCCTGGTTGGTGCATGTATGGGGGCAACCGATTGATGTTCCTCTCTCACATCAATGTTTCTCTCTTTCTTTCTCTCCCTCTCTCTTCCCCTCTCTCTAAAATCAGTAAAAACCTATCCTCTGGTGAGGATTTAAAAAAAAAACCTATTTGGAAGGTGGCTCTTTAGTGTATGAGTACATTTACTGGTTAGTACACTTGCAGCCATACTGAAAGTGACTAAACAATGGATATTTTATGATCTCCCTAACAAGAAGTCCTGAGGTAAGGCAGCTGCTGGTGGGTTGGCTGCTTTGGTGGCCAAATGACATCGTAGCATTAGCTTGGCATTTCTCTGAGCTTTCCCTTTGGTTGTAAGATGGCTGAAGTATCTGAGAATCTCAGCTTTGTATGACAGTATTCAGTGTTGGGAAAAGGGGCCTGCTTCCTGTCAATCTTACTTGCAAGTAAACTATACCTAGAGGTCCTTCGTCTCATTGGCCAGACTTGTCACTGGTGAGGGGAATGGAATTACCAGGATTCAGTCAAACAAATCAAGACCTGCCCAGGTCCTTGCAGAGTTCATGCTGCCTGTTGTCAGATTAAAACTGGTATGCCAAGGTGAAGGGAAGGCTCCTTGGGTAGGCAACCAACAAATCCATTTAGACAAGGTATTGGAATTTACTATGAAGGTAATTTTCTATTTTCTGTTAGTAAATTGTTTCATTTCCTACTTAGCGGAATGAATGGGCTAGCTTATTGACTAACTGGACTTTTCCTTTTTTTCAATAACAGTTTACATTCAATATTATTTTGTATTAGTTTCAGGTGAACAACATAGTGGTTAGGCATTCATATAGTTTACAGAGTATTCCCCCTAGTATTTCCAGTACCCACCTGGCACCATGCATGGTTATTACAATATTATTGGCCATATTCCCTATGCTGTCCTCTTTCCTTTTTGCTTTAAGATCGGCTCAGCTTTAATATTCTCTGTCTTTATCAGGACTCTGTCTACCAGTGATGATGTTGAAGACAGAGAAAATGAGAAGGGTCGCCTTGAAGAAGCCTATGAGAAATGTGACCGTGACCTGGATGAACTGATTGTGCAGCACTATACAGAACTGACGACAGCTATTCGCACATACCAGAGCATCACAGAGCACATCACCAACTCGCGAAACAAAATAAAGCAGGTGAGACTCCTTTCCTCTTGGGACCGCAGCACCTCCCCGTTGATGCAGATGTTACAGCTGGGGGAGAGCGCTGTGCAGGGGCCCAGGGCTGAAGGAGGGATTCCTGAGCATGCTTTCAGGAGTTATGAAAGGCATATGTCGCAAAGCCTGCAGGTCACAGAGGGCATCCAGGGTTTGCTTCTTTCTTCTCCTATGTCTTATCCTTGGCTCCTGTCAGTACTTCTCACTGGGAAATGACACAGGCGACTGCCACAGCTTGAGGAAGACTGAAAGAATCCAAACCAAAGAGGAGAGTCTAGGGCCTCTTACTATTTGAGGCTCCCATTACAGTATATCAAATGTATTCAATGGGCTCATATCACGCATTGTGTGTGTGTGTGTGTGTGTGGCTGTAGTTCTTAAAAATTGTTTTGTTTGAAATTTTGCCTTTGAGTATGTTGCTTAATTTGAAGTTGGTTGTGATTTCTCTGCAGTCATTATACATTCTTTGTAATTCTTGTGAAGAGAATCTAACATAAATTATTTAAGCATATAATGAAATATTGATGAATACCAAAATTCTTGAATATAATTCTTAGTAGTGACAAGCATGTATTAATTTTTATTTTGTAATTTTCTTTTCATATTTTGGAGTTGTTTCTTTTCTCTTTCTTTCATGTCTTTTCTCCCTTCTGTTTTCTTTCCCTTCTTCTCTCATCCCTCTTTCTGCCCCTTTTCTTCCTTTCTCCACCTCTTCCTGCCTCCTTTCTTTTGTGGTAGGTGCATGAAGAGCTCCTGGTGGTCCCTGGGTACCATGTCTTTAATACCTAAGGGATAAAATGGGTTCACAAGAGGTATTTTTATATTTGGCCAAGGGATAAACTGATAAATAAATGCCACGTACTGTCACATAGTTATGTGGTTCTTGGTTATGTATTTTGAAGGTCACTCTTTGAATAGCACTTACTAGTACTCCCCGATGAATAAAAAGTCCTCCTACTTACTGAGCAGTGCTTCCTTGCCAGGCATGCTGTGTCTATTCTCGATTCAACAAATCTAGAATGTGAACTCGGGTCTCCCTGACTGTAAAGCCCTTGCTGCTGGTTTTCAGACATTTTTAAAATGGGATGTTTGGCAGAAACCCCCGATACTGAACATTAAGGGAGATGGTGCTCTCTTCTTGCTTGATGTGGGGTGAAGAGCTGGAGCTCATGTGGCTGCCTCTGTGGCACTTCTGTGTGCTGCGGGCTGCGTAGACCAGTTGGCATGCACCTGTGCCATTGGATCGGGTGGGGATTCCCTGGACTCCGTCTGTGCAATAATAGCTGTGCTCACAACATTCTCACATGGTTTTGTCCTTGTCTTCTAGACCTTATAGCGTGATTGTGTAAGCAGATACATAAACTATTCTTCTAAGGCTGCTGGTGAAATGTTTCAGTCTCTAAGAGTACAGCTGCTGAATCAGTAAGCTCTTAACCTTTTTTCAAGCAATGTGCTGACCTCTTTATATTTTAAAATTAACTGGCATTTTCGAAAGGAATACTATAATTCTTGGCCTTTACAAGTGGTAAGTCCTTCTTATGGATTTATCTGTGAAACGAGGCAAAGGTATAGATCAGTTGCTCCAGATTTAAAGTAAACTGTAGTTCATTTTGACCTAATAGACTAAGCCCAACAGGGGTCAGAAAATGAACGTGTAGAGCTGCTGCCATTCTGGCTTTGCCTCGGGTACTCACAGTGAGGGTGAAGGACATGTCACATTGGTGTTTCTGATTAGTTTGCTGGGCTGCAGGGACTTGGCCCCAGCCTCAGGGAACCCCTGCTGTGGTTTCTGCCTCTGCCCCTGACTGTCTGCATCAGCAGCACTTTTGCCCACAGACTGCTGGTAGTGAAAGAGAGTCTCACCTTGATTATTTCACGTTTGATTTTAGCCAATCTTATCGCCATCCTCATTTTTAAGTATGGTGGAGTTTTGAGAAAAAAACAAAACAAAACAAAACAAAAACCAAGAAAGAAAACTATGTTTATTATATCAGTTGTCAAGAAAAAGAGTTACACAATTCTGTTATGAATGAGCTTCAGTACTCGAAAGAGCAAGAAAGGGCTAAAGCTCTTTTCAAAAAAGTCTTTAATTATTGATAAATGGGAGAAGAAAAATGTTGAGGAAAAATGAAAGCGAATTTATTTTCGTTGTATAATTTGACAATTTTGTCATGTGCAAGTCTATTTCTTATCACCACGGAAACACCGATGTTTCCTTGCCAATCTTTCCCTGTCATGTTTGATTTTTAATTGCACTTTGGATTATATACAAAATATAGGTATGTATATTTTTAAAGTAGAAATGGGAATAATTCAGTAATCACTGGACTATTATTTCAGAACCAAGTAAGATGTTGAGAATATGTACATATGGATGGAAAACTTTTCCTTTCTTCTGCCAGAAGGATGTAATGAGGAGTCAACCAGTATTTGTTGAGTGCTGGATACATGCCTGGTTCTGTCATAGATGCTGGGCTATACCAGTGGAAAACACCAGTCCCTGTCCTCGTGGAGCTTACATGCTAATGAGAGGAGGCAGAAAAACAATCAAGTGATGATATTTAACAGCATCGACTTAGTCTTTGTATATTAAGTTTCTGTTTTGTGCTGAGCATTACTCTAGGCTCTGGGGTATAGAAGTGAATAAAACAGATAAAAATTCCTATCCTCATGGAGTTCACCTTCTAGTCAGGGGAGAAGACTAAATTAATAAGTAAAATATGGTAAAACAGATGTGAAGAAGTGATGTGCCAAAAAAAAAAAAAAAAATCAAGGAAGGGAGACTAGGGAGCTGCTGTTTTAAATCGATTGGCCGGAGAAGGCGCCACTGAGCTGCCATCTGAGCCAGCACCTGAAGAGGTAGGAGAGTCAGAAAGGTCCTCAGGAAGAAGGAATAGCAGAAATAAAAGTTTCCCGAAGCAGGAACTCTGGGGAAGCAGCAAGGAGGCCATCGGGGCTGGAGGGAGATGAGAGCTGGTGGGCAGTGTGGTGGAGTGGTCCAGGTCATGTAGCGTCTTGTAACTCTGAGTATGTTGTGAAACCATTGTAAGGCTTTGAGCATAGCAGTGATATGATGCGACTAATATTTCAAAAAGGCTGCTCTAGCTATTGTACTGGGGATAGACTTAACTGGGGACCAAAGCAGGTGAAAATGTTCATATTCATTCCTTGTTGTTACCTGCAAAATCTTGAGAATACAGCCCTGGCCGGTTTGGTTCAGTGGTTAGAGTATCGGCCCTTGGACCAAAGATTCTGGTCAAGGAGATGTATCTCAGTTGCAGTTCCGTCCCCGGTCCTGGTTGGGGTTGTGCAGGAGGCATCCAATTGATGTGTCTCTCTCACATCGATGTTTCTCTCCCCCAACCCCCACAACTCTATCTGAGGATAAATGGAAAAATATCCTTGGGTGAGGATTAAATAAATAAACAAACAAAAAATAAAAGCTTGAAAATACAGAACCGTTCACTTTTCCATTTAGATACTAGTTTCACGTACGGACTTATGTTGCATTGGTAGAATCAAGTCCTGGAGGATGATAGGAGCTGACAGATTTGACTCTTTCCAGATGGTCCAATTTTTTTTTGCCGCAGACAAGTCCTTTTGGATTTTTTAGATTAAAAAAAAGTGCAAATAGAATACCATATATGATTGATCAGATCAGGTAATGTGGATAATTAGCAGAACACTCGGGCAATTCTATTACTGTTGCAGATATTGTAAAATTGGTCAAAATAAGATGTTATTGCGTGAGAAAACTTCAGGGTCCATAGGTTCTGCCAGCTTCCTGTGTAGTGACAGTTGCAGCGGCAGCACTGAAATGGGTGCATATGGTGGGTACACGTTGAGGACTGGGACCATACAGGTGATGCTTGTTGAGTGTTTCCTCCTGTGGTGCACTGGTTGCATGAGGTGGTATTCGATTTTTTAAAGATACTCAGTAGTGCATCTAAGGCTTATCACGGGAGCAGATAGGCTGACGGAAAATCACAGGTGCTTGTCTCTGTTGTGACAGGTGTATAGACACTCTACGTTTCATCCCAATTTGGGCCGCCTTGTTGCTGCTAGATGAAGCTCTTAACCCATTTTTCTGGCCTGTGATTGGAGATACCTATACATGGTTATTCAAGTGAAATTGTTAGGACTTAATCATTGAATAATGCAACATTCATTCATTGGCATTTTACTAAAGTAATTTTGTGGCTTTTATATGAAAGTATACCTTGAAAGTTAGAATTAGATGGAGGAATAACCTTAATTAATGTTTAAAAAGTCACAGTAGACCAACATGGTTTTGGTAGGAATTTATTTACAACCCTAATGTAAGATGGAAAATCCTAGCTGCTTGTATGAGAAAGGGGGAAAAAGCCTAGAAATGGACATGCTATAGAGCGGCAATGATGAGATACCATAGTTTCAGATCTGGGCAGTAGCATTAACGCAGTCACAGGAACTATGAGGTAATATTTCCATTAAGTTGAGCAGTGTCTGTATTTATGTGTTGTATCCAGACTCTGCAACTGAAAAGCTAAGTATTGCCCTTGGAAAAGGTTGAGTGGAGCCTCTCAGAGAATTTAAGACCTTAGAATGGCAGCTAAAAAAACTTGAGAACAAAAGCATGGGAATAAGTTTGAGGGTAATTTAAAAATGATCTATAGTTATAAAGGGCTTTTAAAGAGAACAGTGAGCGGTGTTTCTGAGGTTCATTCTTCTCCGTACTTTCTGTAAGATTTTGGAAGTAGATGGGTTGGACACTTACATCAGGAGAATACCCATGAGAATACTAATATGTAGATTCATTTTTACTATAATTAAAAGAAAATATGATTTTTTTGCTTTTAGAATGAATAATTTGTTGTATACATTTTCACTTACTATCCCTTATCCTTGGGGACTTTCAGGGGATTTCTAGTTTACAGTTTCAGCGAGGTGCTTGTACATTTGTTGTACTTGTTACAGATAATATGCACACTCACAAGCAT